GACCCCACCATAACTTCTTAAGGACAGCGTCTACGCCAGTCAACCAAGGAGACAAGGGCATGGGCCATGTCCTCAAGGAGCAAGAGCAGGGAGGAAGTGGTCAGGATGAGGCTCTGGGGGTGTTGGAGGAGAGCTGCTCATGAACAGCCAGGGGTCCTGGGAACCAGGATGGCCCTAGAGATGCAGAGGCAAGGGAGGGCACAGACGTGGGCTGTCCTCCCTGTGGCTGAGGCAGTGAATGAGGTGCTTCAACCCTGAGTGACTGAGGCAGCAGAGAAGAGCCCACAGGGAGCAGAGGGGAGCCCACAGGCAGCAGAGGGGAGCCCACAGGGAGCAGAGGCCTCAAGCAGGATACTGTGGGGCTTGCCCAGAAATCAACCCAGGGTTCCTGGGATGCAGCTGTGGAGTCAGGGCCTTGGGGATGCACCTGAGCCGTGCTGGGATGTCCCTGAGAGTCCAGGGAAGCAGGAAAATAGAACCAAGAGCCTTCTCTGAAGCTGAGAGTTCAGATTCATGTCCTGGTTGTGCTCATTACTAATCGAGCCCTGAGGAAGTCTTACTTAGATCTTTGTGCATCATTCTCTGAGGCCGAGAGGCAATGACCGGCCCACCTCCTAAGGCAGGTGGGGACACTCCCAGATTGCCCAGGATGGTCCAGGCTCCTCTTCAGTCCTGGCATCCCATCCACTTTGTGCCTCTGTTCACCATCTAAATTGCCCGGGGTGGGGAGTAAGGTCCATGGCTCCCCCACAGAGGGTTGCCATGGTAATGGTTAAAGAGGCTCAGGAGAGGCCCTGCCATCCAGGAAGTGCTGGACGATGGCTCACTGCCAATGTTATACCATTCAAGGTCAATCAGGGCTGTCGCTGCCCTAGCAGGCTGATTAGAGCAGGGTCCGTCCGGCACACAGGTTGTGAAACTGCTCTCGCCTTGAAGAAGAAGCACGAGGTGAAGCAGACACAGGTGACGGTGTGAAAAAAGAGGAGACAAAGCAGGAGGAAAAGTGATGGAGGAACCCAGGCGGCCCCATTGTTGTTATTAGGGTTGTTGCGGGCCCAGGTTCCCGTTGGGGTTTTGTTTTTCTTTTGGGGACCCCTTCTTCTTCCTTTTTCCTATGGCCACGTGTCCTCACTGCAGTCTCAAGGTTGCCTTGGCTCCAAATTCACTGCCCGCTGGTTTGTGCAAAGCCATCGGAGCCTGGCTGCTTCCCCTTGGCACAGGCTGCGGTTCCCTGGTCCAATCCCCGGTGGATCCTGTCCCTCCCTCCCTCTTTCTTGGGAGGGACTAAGGCAGCTCCCTGGGGATAAAGAGAGGAGCTGTGGCCACTCAGCCCACAGTGAACTCCTTGATCCTGCCCCCCCTCGGGAACAGCCACCAGGAGCCACCTCGCCATGAAGCTGCTCGCAGTCCTCCTGCTGGCTGCCCTCCCCCTTTACTGCTCTGCAGGTGAGCTCTGTGCAGGGAGGGCTGCCTGTGGCCAGGGGGGAGCCAGGGCCCCCGGGGGAGGAGTCCCAGTTCCCAAGCCGCAGTATGGTTCAGTCCTATTTCCAAATTTCTGAGTAGGAAACCCCCACAGTCACCATTAACTACAAATCATCAAAGAAGCAGCTCCCTTGTGGCCTGGTCTCCTACTTTAGAACTGCATTGACTGTGTCATTGTCTTCAAGGTGACCCACCGTGGTCCCATCTACCTTGAGGACAAGAGTGAGTCTCACTATGGAATACTGGAATGAGACGTTTCAGTGGGACGAGGGGATATGGCTTTGGGCCCAGATGTGTTTCCTAAAAGAAGCAGCATGCGTCTCCTAATACGTGAAGGAGATGGCAGCCTGTGGAGGTGAAGGCCCGGGCTATAGCCTGGGACTCGGCCACTCCGCAGACATCTGCAGGGTTAATCTGAGCCCTTCCAGGCGGCACTTGAGCTCCAGTGCCTCCATGTTCACGCTGCTGGAGGGGAGACCTCACCCTCTGTGGGGCCCACCTTCAGCAGTGGAGGAGAAGGAAGCCCCGCCAGGGTACGTGACGTGTGTGGCCTGATTCGTACACTTTACAAAGCTTTTTATAGGGCCTACCTCACTTGTTCCTCATGTAGGGAAAAAAAGGCGATGTGCTCAAGAACTAGATAGAAAATTCCAGAAACAAGAGTGACATCAGCTCGTGTGAACTCAAGTCCTGAGCTTTCTCCTTGCAGGTTGGTCCAGGAGATCACTTCATGCACTAGAACTTTTCCCTTTTTCTTTTTGGGTACCAAATACTGGATCCAGTGGTGCTTAACCATGGAGTCACATCCCTAGCCGTGCTTTTTAAAATATTTTATTTTGAGACAGGGTCTCGCTCAGTTGCTCAGGGCCTTGTTAAATTGCTGAGGCTGACTTGGAACTTGCCATCCTCCTGCCTTGGCCTCCCAAACAGCATCACTGTGCCTGCCTGGACGTTCCTCTTTGTGCTGAATGCTGATGCTTAGTTTGAGTCCACAGAGCTGATTAACAGAATTTTGAATCCAGTAATTCTAGGGTCCCTGAAAATCTTACCTGATGTTCTGAATGATGATAGAGTAGTGTGGCATGGCTTTGAACAAAGACAGAAGGACTGATGTTCAGTAAGTCCTATGCATTGGACTATCTCATTTCTTATGTAAGGGTAATCAAGATGGGTTGCTGTGTTGGGTACAGCAAGTGCAGGGCTGTAGGGAACCTCAGAGCCTGAACTTCCTCTTCTAGAATTGGGATCTCTAGCCATGCCCTCCTGAGATGTTCACGGATGAGTGACACCTCAGGTGCTCCCCGTCATGGGTTCCCACCGCCAGTCCTGAGCCATAGTCTGACGCTTCTTCCCAGGTTCTGGCTGCCAATATCTCGAGGACGTTATCGCAAAGACAATTGATCCAGAAGTATCCATAGAAGAGTTCCTAAGTTTCATTGAGGAGTTTGTGCATAATGATTCCACTCAGACAGCCGTGGAGGAATTTAAACAATGTTTCCTGAACCAGTCCAACGAAACTCTGGCCAATGCTCAAGGGATGATGGTAATTTGGGGTTCTTCTCGTGTAAGATCAGTGCTTGGAAACAAGCAGGCTCTGAGATTTTTGAGTCCTAATGTCAAAGAAATGGGTGCACATGTTTTTTTTTTTTTAAATCATGTGATTTAGTGGTAGGGTGTTAATGACTTTTTCTTCAAGAAAGCCACCCAAGGCCCCAGGGTTGGTTTTCTATCTCACTTTGACACTCTTCTGTGAATGGCAGCCGAAGACAAAAGAAGGGAAAGCAGTCCCAGAGGTTGATCCCCACCTCCCAGCTCCTCAGATCATACACGTGTGCACATACTCATCTCTCCATCCACCCCTCGGAGAAGGCGGAGTTACATACACACACACACACACACACACACACACACACACACACACACACATTTTCTACAAAAAGAAAATCCTTGATTCTTAGGATGCCCTCACCTTTAATGATATTAAAGCCAGGTCCCCTATTGCAAAACACCAAACATCAAGAGGCCATTTTGTAGACACTTTTTTGGAGGGGCCCCAAACGTACCATTGAGTCACATTCTTTGTTCCTGAATGAAAACATTTAAGATGCACTTCTATTCAACCTACTTTGTCAGCGTACATGTGTGGAAATTGTGGACACTTTCATTTAGCAGCCATGAAAACCCAGGTAGAAGAGTTACATAGTAGCATAGGTGATGGAGTATTTCAAATAAAACAATGAGTATTTCTTTCTAATGACAGACACTTGCTCATCTCTTTGGGAATATACTTAATATATCAATATTCTCTTTGAGACATAGAGTGCCTGCATTTCGGGTTAGACCCACCATTCACAGTGAGAAACTCCAGTATTGCATAGAACACGTGACAAGGGTGGAGGGTCACAGGTTCTTTTCAGTCGTTTCTCACTTTTCAGGCCACAGAGGAATTCAGAAAGATCACATCCATTTACTTGAGCAGAGATTTTAACAATTCAGGGTGGAAGAGTGGTATCAAAACGGACCAAATTCTATCTTCAACACATATGACCTGTAGCACGATTAATGAAAAGTTATAGGGGGTAGTCCTTGGAGAAATGATTCAGAAATATCAGCCATTCTTTGGAATTAATAAAAGTCTTCTAACAATAGAACACAGAAGTTGGTAACCGATCTTGCTTTCTGAATTCTTGGGAGACTTGATGTTCACTAAAAAACACAAGAAGACAAGGAGCAGATATTTTTGGTTTTGAGTACTTGACATGGCAGGACAGAGTTGGAAATCTCAGTGACGTCCCTGCCTTTCTTTTCCAGGACATCATGTACAACAGCATTTACTGTACACATTTCTAAGTTTCCACAAGAACTTGACTCAACTGCAAAACATGTTCAGAAACTGACTACGGATGCTGTCCTGCTCTTTCCCAATTTTGTTCTTCTACCTATAAATTGCAAGACAATTGTTGAAACCTCAAAAGCAATTTTAAATAAATCACCTGCAATCACTAAAGCTCTTTTTCATTTTTCTGGGAAATTGGAGGTTTAGGAAGACTTCTGCACACACGCCTGGGTGAGCTCTCTCTCTCTCTCTCTCTCTCTCTCTCTCTCTCTCTCTCTCTC